TCCTGCACTGCCAGAACGGAGGGACGTGCCACAACAACGTGCGCTGCTTGTGCCCGGCCGCGTACACGGGCATCTTCTGCGAGAAGTTGCGGTGCGAGGAGGCGGGCAGCTGCGGCCCGGACTCGGGCCAGGCCGCGCCCCCGCACGGCTCCCCCGCGCTGCTGCTGCTGCTGCTGCTGCTGCTGGGGACTGCCAGCCCCCTGGTGTTCTAGGCGTCCCACCCAGCCGCCGCCGGACAGGCCTGTGCCGTGGGGACAGCCACACCAGCCAAGCATCTTTGCTCCTAACGTAGGAAACACACGCACCAGACACCCCCACTCAGACAGTGTCCCAGCTAAGGAGGCCTCGCCGAACTAAGCCATATTTATCAGCCGGGGACAGCCCATCCGAGTCAAGACTGTTAATTTCTGACGCCAGAGGAGTTGGCAGCTGTTGGCAGTCTCGCTCCAAATCGCATGGCCAGCTGCAAAGCATATTGTGGATTGACAGGCTGTGATAGCACCCTCCTCCCCCCCCCCCCGAAACAAACCAATCAAACAAAGATAACGACGACGACAACAAACAGATCAACCAACCTAAAAACATCGGCGACTCTAAGTGGTGCCCTGGCACCACGATGCCCAGTGGGTGGACCGACCAAATAGCATTCTTTGCTGTCAGGCGCATCGTGGGTATAAGGATATCTGTCACAAGCTGCCATATTGGCCTGCTTTCGCCCCTGAATCCCTTCCAACCTGTGCTTTAGTGAACGTTGCTCTGTAACCCTTGGAAGATTTCTTTGTCTGATGTTAGTGATGACACGTGTAACAGCCCCCTCCAAAAAGCGCCAGCCAGTCATACCCCTGTATATCTTAGTAGCACTGAGCCCAGTGCAAGCACACACCCACTATCCAAGAGTGGCTATAGGAGAAAAAGAAAAAAAAAGAAAAAAAAAAGAAAGTGTATCTATCCTTTTGTATTCAAATGAAGTTATTTTTCTTGAAATACTGTAATATGTAGATTTTTTGTATTATTGCCAATTTGTGTTACCAGACAATCTGTTCGTGTATCAAATTCGAATCAGCAGAGACTGACATTTTATTTTGTCCTCTTTCGTTCTGTTTTGTTTTCATTGTGCAGAGATTTCTCTGTAAGGGCAACGAACGTGCTGGCATCAAAGAATAACAGTTTACATATATAACAAGTGTAATAAGATTCCACCAAAGGACATTCTAAATGTTTTCTTGTTGCTTTAACACTGGAAGATTTAAAGAATAAAAATTCCTGCGTAAACAATTTCAGGAATTTGTATTGAGGTTTCTTAAGGCAAAAGGAGCAGCCACCAAGCAGTTTCACACTCACTTTACTGATTTCTGTGTGGACTGAATACATTCAACTGACGAATTTAGTACCCAGGAAGACGGATTGATGTTCACTAGTTTGGACAACTTCTGCAAAATATGAGACTATTTCCACTTGGGAAAAATTACAACAGGGAAAAAAAAAATCTAAGTGATTGTCAAGATTATGCCAAAGCCTGTTGGCAGAGTACTAAGAGACTTTTATTTTTAAGTCATGCTATTTTCACAGATTGATGGTGATCATGTGACTCTAGGATGCTGATCTATGTATCTTTCCAAAAACAGTGTTTACATGGAGTATCGTAAGAGGCAAGCTGGTGAGCCAGGACAGTAACAGGGAAATTGAGTAATTAGCAATTTGACTTTGAGTATATTCAGAATAAGTATTTAGAGGAAATAGCAAAATATACAGCAGCAAGTAGACAAAACTGCTGTTCCTGAGAATAAAGTTTGTTTTAAGTACTGCCCAAGGTGTAATACATTCTTGTTTCTGCCTTTTATTAGGCCAATTACTGTGCAAGACAGCAAGGGGAGGCAGGTGGGGAAGAAACACTGCAAAGTTTCAAAAAGGCTAAAACAGTCTGTTATTCCCAGAACACTATCCTACAGGTTATACATGTGTTGGCAGCAGCATACCCTGGAATCAAAAACAATTATCAGCCCAAGCCAGAGTCTTGAGGACAATGACATTCTTCATGACTTGGTAGAACCTACGAGGGGTACCCCAAAAAAACAACCCAGAATTTGTTTACAAAAAGTTGTGTATTTATTCTTATATGTTTAACTTTGATCACCTTAAAAGTACTCTCTGTTTGATGCGGTACACCTATTGAGATGCTTTTTCCACTGTTTTTGAACGCGTCGGTTTTGATGCCTTTTAGTAATTAATGCCATTTTTTGTTTCATCCTTTCCACATGGACAAAACATTTCCCTTTGAGGACTTTTTTTCATCCAGTAAGACCAAAAAAAAAAGTTGCTTGGGGAGAAATTAGGTAAATAGGGAGAGTGGGTCACAAGGGTTTCAGGCCATTTTTGTTCAAAAACTGCTGAACACTCAGCACGGTGTGGGTAGGTGCGCTCATGAATCACCCATCATGAAATGGACGAACACATGGAAAGAATCTCTAAAAAAAATTTACTGAAGCCGAACAAAACTTCTCACAATGCTCGGTGGTACACTGATGCCAATGGATTCCTAGAACACTTACCTAGCAGGGGAAGCCTGTACTACAAGGGGTCTGCCCTCCAAAAGCTATTCCAGGGTTTTTTTGGGGGGGTCCCTCCGTATATGATGGTGTTAGGTTGGAAAGCTAGTTTCAGCCAGCATTTTTCTCCCTGCTGCCACTCCTTGCTGAATCAGGGAAGGTGGGCAAATGTCTCCGGATAAATAACCTGGGTAAAAACTAGATGAAGGAACAGCATGTCTTATTGGTTTTGTTCCCAGAAAAACCAATTCAGAGAAGGCAATAAAAGGTAAACAGGTAATGCCTGTGCTGTCTGCCACCCCACGTCTAAGTCTATTGAATGTTTGTTATTCAAACCAACAGTCTCTTTTGATGTAAGAAATAAGAAAAGATGAAAATAAATGAGGAGCTTTGGCTTAGTGCCAGAGTGGCCAACCAGAAATTGGAGATTGACATTGGAAGCATAAACAGAAAATTCTTTTTCAGGCTCACCAAAGAATAGACCATGAAAATTCTGATAGCATACGGGGTTTGAGATTACTTATAATGAGGTGGATTTTCTAATATTAAAATTGGAATTTAAGTTGTCTTATAGTTTATTAGCACAAACCAAAGGCAGCCTGGTTATTTCTGGCGACGATGCACTTTACCGTTCTCCGCTCATAGCTTTGTCACCATGCTCAGGAATCAGACGCTGCACATGTCAGCATGTGGGGTCCCGAAAGCCGATTCTGAAATTTAATGAAGGCCTGATCTAAATCAATTCATCTGCATTTTATCTTTATGAGGCTATAAGAATCTAAATCGATGAGGAATATCTTGTGTTCAGTGTATTTAGATATAGTTTTCTGAATTTCCTGAAGCGATGTGATCTGCTTTTAATAAAAATTCACTTTTAGGTATACAACCAATGGAAATGAAATGTTCTTTTTAATTTGGATTCTTTTTAATCTTCTAATGGCTTACTCTTTTGAAGAAACCCAAACTCAGTGGACTTCTTCATCTGCTGCTTTCTAGAATTCTTACAAACCTGGTTTCCTACATTGGGTCACACATTGGAGGTCCTAATTCTTGTTCTTTTTTTCTACTTGGATAAATCCTTTAAGGCAGGTTCATTTAGTCTTGTATGTGAGTTCATCTATCAACTTTCCCACAGAGTAAAAATATAATTTCTCCCATCACTACCATTGATGAGCATAAAATTTCAAAAAATGGGACCAAATTTAGGCTATCTGAAAAGTCTTGCTACTTCTAGGAAAGTAGTGGCCATGCCCTGCCATGATGTGGGAGTGCCGAATTTCTGAGCCGTACACTGTCGAGAGGAAGAATGTTAGTCCAGCAGAAAGGGGCCCTGGCTTAGAGGGGTCCATTTTGATCTTCCTCCAGCTTTGCCCCAGAAACCATGATCCTAGAGTTTCCTACTCAGATACCCCTTCACACACTTTTTAGGGCACATGTGAACCTCCCCTGGGGGTCCAAACTTCTGAAGGCAGGCAGTATCATGAGTGCACATCCCTGGATGCAAGGGTGCATCTGTGTGAGTGGCTTAGGACCTGGGGCTGGGAGTGTCCACTGGGGAATTAACACAAGCGAGGAGAGGCCCCATGCAGTGAAAACTGGCGCTCAGGGCTGGAAAAGTAGGGGGTAAGAGATAGGAAGCAGAAAGACAAGAGCTTCACTACCTTGGGGGCAGGGGCCAGCACAGAACACTAAGCAGTCTAAGGATTCTGAATCTATCCCTGGGCTTCCAATTTGTTATGGATGCCTGTGTGTCAAAGTGGCAGGATGGAACATGTCTTATCTGACACTTTGCTAGCTTGATGTTTAACTTTTAAATACTTAGACATGTGGCAAGTAGTCCTCTGTGGGTATACTTGCCCTGGGCCCTGCAAACATTTAGGCCGGCTCTTTCTTGAGTTGAATTCCTAAGCTGGTGCAAACTGCTCACGAAAGGTCCAGGTTGGAGGAAGGCATCTGTTCCACAGTTCAACCATCCCCGTAGTTAATGCTTGCCTCATTCTCTCTTGGTCCTGTGGCTTTACTAGAGTATAAGAAATGTTGGATGGATTGGGAACAGCTATGAGGAAACTCTGAAATAAAATCTGTTCCATCTCCTTCCCCTTCTGCCATCATGCACAATCCAGCAGGATTGGGATGCAAAGACCCAGCATTCTGAAATAGGGTGTTCTGTGCCACATGGGAAACAGGTTGTTATGCCTCACTTGTTGTTCAATATTAAATTCAATACCTATGTAATGGCTTCTCTGCTCACAGGACTGAACAGGATATGTGAGAACTGCATGTTCTATATATTTGGAATGTACAAAACTCTATAGGTATGGATGATGTGGTGAGATTCAAAGTCCAGCTTCTGGAACCAGCTAGAATTCCTTATCTACCTTTTTCACTCCTGATCTTAATTGATCAGGATGGTAATGATGACAGTGACTTCAGCTGCATCTTAGAATAATATAAATAACCAGAGCAGGTAAAACTCTAGGTTTTGTTTGGTTCTGTGTGTGTGTGTATGTGTGTGTGTGTGTGTGTGTGTGTGTGTGTGTGTGTGTGTGTATCAGTCTTAATGATATATAGGAATGAAAAAATGTAGATAAGGGATATTCTCAGGGTTTTGCTTCAAGTATTTGGTTATGCACAACTCTTTTTCTTTTCTTTTATTTCTTTTGCCTCAGGAAATTAGGACTAGATTCTAATCAGTTTTATTTCTAACAAATAGCTAATGTTCACCTGACATAAATATCCTGTCAGTTCTGATCATTTCCATATAGAATGATTTTCACTTTTAACTAACTATACTTTTACTTTTTTTACACTAAAAGTAGTTTTAGTAATCTAAGCAGATACCGAAAAGTTCTAAGTATAAATTTCACATACACATAATATGATATCAGAAAGAATTAAGAATGCTGACTATCATATTTTGAATTTCCACCAGTAATTCTTGGGAACATGGGTGA